AACATTGCTCTGCCAGAATCTTCATGATTGTTGGAGTTTTGCGTGCACATATTGCTTCCTCGCCCCAATGTTGATGAGAGTGTAACCCTGAAGTGCCTATATTTACATTTTCTTTCTAGTACTATTTCTCAAGGCCCTTTCCGGGACTTGGGTTATAAGTCATTTTTGTCCTTGGATGTAACTGAGCTGAAAGAAAAAATAATTATGTTAGAAATTGCAAAAACTGCAAGCTTTCTATTAGGTGGAGGGTGACTCCTTGTATATAAGGCTCAGACAAAGCCGTAGTGCACTTGGTTGAGTACTAAAGATTGTGGATGCTTGCAGAAAGAATGTCGCAGGTTGCTGTACGTTTGCAAGTCATGGAGAAAAATACTGCAGGGCAAGTTGTTGATGCTTATGTGGATCTTCACATTGCCATTGTGAAGGTTTATTCCCCAAGTTCTCCCCTTTCAACTGCAAAAGTTGGCTCATCTAGTAAGCTTCAACCTGGAGACTGGGCAATAGCCATGGGCAGTCCACTTTTCCTTGAACACACTGTTACGCTCGGGATTATCAGGTCATTCAGCTCATACTTACCATGTGACCAAGCAATTAATTTTTGTTGAAGTTTTTGTTTTCCTTAGTTGGTTGGTGCTAATGTATGATTATTATTTAAAGTGCCAGTTCCTTCCCTCTTCTTTTGCTTAATATTGCTGTGTTCATCACAGGACCAATGCGTTGGGAGTTAGAGGAATGCCCATAGAGTATCTACCGACAGAATGTGCAATCATTACAGTAAGATGCAACGTTGCCTGTGTTTGCCTGCCTGTCTATGATGGGTTTGTGTTTCCTTTTGCTGTTTCACACATATTCAATGTTAATAACACTAGAGGAGTCTCTATGCATTAGCTGCTATATCAGGATATCTGTTCTGGTCAACCTCCTAGATATGTGTTACATCAATGTTGGAAGAATATGAATTTCAATGGCAATAAGTTATGTTGGAAAAGTAAGTCTAGCTAACTGAAAGGTGCGATGCTACTTCAGACGCTCTAGAAGCGTGAGAAATGAAAAAGGGGTATTGCATATCTCGTCACTAGTGGGCCACCAATCTGTGAGATGTTGGCCATCACCTATCATACATAGATGGTTATGAGGCAGAATTGTTGACCGTACATAATACAGTCTAGTTAAATCGAAGTAAGTGACTGCATTGGTGGTGAATTGACGTGCATGCACTTCTCTGTCCAACCTAAGCTAGCTCTTTTGGCATAACTGTGGTATGCTTCTTGACAATAAGTTGCCATCTTTTATTCGTGTATACGAAGGCGGACGTGAAGGGAAACTCTCTGATGCTCAAAAAAAAAAAAAAACAAAGAAGGGAAACTCTGGGGTTCCTCTTTGCAATGTTGATAGAGAAGTAGTTGGTGTCAATGTTAACATATGAATGCAGAAAAAGCATCTGCAGTGAGCTTCGCTGTATTATTTCAGCAATCACAAAGCATCGTCTCCTATCCTCTTTCATATAATAAAACGGGTGATTGATTTTAAAGCAAGTGTTTCATTGATATTCTGATGTGCATGTTGTTCTTGAGCAATCAGATCCTTTCTATTGCATTTCTCTGTGATAACTCCAGATGTTGGGCGGAAAAGAAAGAGTTCGATGACTCTGTAGTTTAAACTTAAACAATTTCTCGTATCATTGATAAGTAACCAAAATGGTCATGTCAAAATCTTCTCCAGACTTATTTCCTAATATGAAACTTTTTAGTGACTCATGGTAGGAGGGCTGTACGACCTCATTTCGGATGGTTATGCGGAACATCCATGAGGAGAACTTCGAAGAACTTAAAAAAAATTACCCTACTTTTCCTAATGCTATAGACGTGTCTTTGTACAAAAAGGTATGTCTTCTTTTATTTCTTGTGCGGCAAATCTGGAAATGTACCCTTTTCCATGATGCCATTAGTTTGTAAGAAGAGTGCCTAATTCTTTGGGGGGAGAGGAGATTGAATGGAAATTTATGAAGTTTATAAGATTGCAAGAGGAGTAAGTAACGATGTGTCCACGTTCACATACGATTGAATGTGGATGGAAGTGACTTTTCAAAATATTCCTTTTTGGGTTGGACTTTATGGATGCACATGGAAATGGGACGTCCTAGTCTTAATGATGAAAGCCGCCACCAATTTTCCACAACCCTTACTTTTACTTGGGGGGTGGGGGGAGGGCGTGGGGGGAGAAGGGGGGGTCACGGGTCTGGTCTTTATGGTGCATGGTCAAAGTTTGCTACTGTTGGATACTATCGCTAAGGTCCCTGTTATGTTTGTGTAACTCGTCATATTGCTTCTCTTTTGTCCTCTTTATTTTCTCATAAACATGCAATTTATTGCAATTATTCATGAAAACCTCGTTTGGAGAAAATGATCCATCAAATAAACCAACATCACTCATCGACTGTGCTATGATAAGAGTTATACTGAATAAGCAACATTAACGCCTCACTGGTGCTGCCATTTCTTTGTGACAAAACCCTAAAGAAAGCTCTCTCTTCAGGAGACCACTTATCTTGCATGCTTTTAAGTATCATTTGACCAGTGAAAGTGTCGACCCACATGAATCAATCCAGTCTATGACAATGAACTTGCATTTTGTGTACTTATTGAAATTCGTCATCTAACGTCTTTTTTTTCTCATAATACTTTTCAAGCTAGCTTTTTCAGACAAATGCATGGTTTTAACTGTCAACATTGCGGACTCCTTATATATTCTTATCTTCATCAGGTACTAAAAGAATCCCCTGCTGATCGTACTGGCATTCGAACCGGTGATCATTGTTGGATTTTTATGGAAAACGAGTTCAATAGGTAAAAGTTTTCTTGATCTAACAGGCATCAATTTTGATTCAGAAGTATAAAAAACGGAACACTGGAATCTTTATCAAAGATCTCAAGATATGTACAATGCATTTGGCGGAATGAATTGCATTCGTTTTACTTGACATTTCACTTGACGTCGGCCTATCCTTGATGGGAAATGAGAAAGGCTTCAAAGGCTTGTCACTCTCTAAATGAACTGTGATAAGCAGTAGTTTCAAGATGAGGAATCTTTAACGGAATATAAAATGAAAGAAAATGAGATAAATAAATCACAGATTACGATGGGTGCAGAACAAACGAACAAAGTAGTTCCCTATAAACTTAAGTGTGTGTACAGTTTGCGATGGCAGTTCAACTTCAGCTCTCTTACTTATGCGGTTAGTTATCGTTATTGAAAACGAGAACTAAAGCGCTTGATTCACCAAGTTGTTGCAGATGATGGATGTTCTAAGGGAGAGATGTGGGGCAACCGTCATGGCAAATGTGAAGAGAGCCAGGGTTGCTCCGGTTCCTCTGACCATGACTCCCCTGAACATGAACTTATCAATCTTCCACATCAAAACTTAAATTCAACAAAAGAAAGCGTCACCTATGGTCCACCATCGCAAGCACTAGGCGAAATTTCACCACTGTCTACCACCCGCACATCACCGGACCACCGCCCACCCTCGATTATGACTCCAGAATGATGCATAACATACAAACTGGAATACCAGTAAAGTGCAGTCAAGTATAGTAAGAAATCAGTGTTCATCAAGAGCCCCCGCCGGTTCATGAGAAGGCACCGGACAAGACTCGAAAAGGAAAAAAAAAAGCATATTGAACCACGGCGACAAAAAACGTTAGCGAAAGATCACCATTAAGCGAACCCTATGACCACGCATTCGAAGCGACTCAAAATCGGAAGAAAATATGTACGACCTTGGTTCAAACACGGTGCGCAGTGGATTGAAGTCAGGACGTTCGGGCATTTAAAAACTTGAGCGCACACCAAGACTTGAAAGAGACCATCAAGACATACTTGTCCAGGCTTATTTTTTTTCTGAGTGACATACAAATATGGCTCATCAAGTGATGCCATAACAAGTTCAAATTCAATCAACTCAGAATTAAATTTTTCCAACCTTTTTTTTTTTGGTCGGAATTTTTCTTTTTTCTTTTTTTTTTTCCATCTTAAAAGTATTGAATAAAAGGGTAAAAGAAGTCAACACTTGCAACATATCTCAGTGTTTGATTGGGCATGGCAGAGATGTAGAACCAAGAAAACAATTAGAGTAATGCAAATTTCATCATCCCTACCTGAATGAAGTCAAAATGGGATCCCCAGATCTCGGCCGCCGCCCCAGCAGATTAATGGTCGAAGGAAAGCTGCGCCGGAGCAGAGACGGAGGGAGCGCCGGAGCAGAGAGCGAGGACGAGGGACCCAAACCTTGGCTTGGTCGGAGAGGGGCGGAGCAACCAGAAACGTCGAGCGAAATCGCAGGTTCAAAATCATTTGAAAGCTAGAGAAAGGAAAGTGCGTTGGGTTTCCATCTTCAATGAGAAAACCAAGAAGAAGAGAGAGAGGGCACAGGGCTAGCGGTAGCGTGCAGGACAATGAGAGAGAGAGAGAGAGAGAGAGAAAGAATATGAATTTTTTTGTGCAAAAATTTCATCTCGGCGAGCCGGCCCCACAAGCGCCACGTGGAGATCCGGACCACCTCATATTTTTGGGCATGAGACAGAGAAGGAGACAGAAAGAGACACTTCCTCTTAGATCGTGTCACAGGAGGCTTCATCGTCGCAACCCTCCACACGATGCCATATTTTATGTCCCCTCACGTGATTGAGGGTCCCGTCCGCCCCGGTAAAGACAATACGATACCAAAGTACTTTCTAAAAACTCAGAAAATGATCAGGGGAATATAAAATCGAAGATTTGTGGGTCGATGCTCAAACAAAGAAAAAGCGCGTGGCCCCGATTCTATGACTATCATCAACGGTACTGGAAAAATCATCTCCCCTTTTGCTCTTTCAGAAAAAACAGAAAATAATGGGGCCAACCAGAAACATGACAGTCCCAACAAAATATACCCGAAACAGATATTAAAAACACAGAAAGACAGATTATACAAGATAGTCGGAAGGTCGGATCACTCAAATTCAGTTTCTCTGCAGCAACCTCTCTTTGGCTTCCTTAAATTTCCGCACATAATCATTGACAATTGCCATCTGCTCGCTTGCACGAATGCCGGTCCAGCAAAATGTGGCGAAATGCTCGCAATTGTTGTCGATGAGGCTGTAGTCGCCAAAAGCATTATTGGCATGGAGCTTGCAAGCCTTATCGACGACTTGTTGGGGCAATTTGGTATCGAGTAGCGTGGTGCAAGTTCCTCGCCTTGTAAGCTTAAACCCTAATAGTGGCCTCCTGTATTCGTAAAGGTGAAGGGATCGGAGCTTTTTGCCATCCCTCCGGAAGCAATCAAGACAAGTTTTGACGACCCCACGCTTTGTAGTCTCTTGGTATTCACATTCTGGGCAGGGAGGCAGAGTTTCTTGATTGTGGCAAGTCTTGGACAGTGATGGAAACATGGTTTTTTTGCTCCGTGTTCGGGTAAAGTGAATCACATAGCCGTCACCAACGTAAATTCCTGACATAGGTACGCCCAAATCAGTAAAGAATCTGTTTAGTCCAAAATGTACAAAAAAAAAATTCAAGAGACACAATTTCGACGCAAACTTTGGGCGTTCTACATATAATCCCAAAGTTATGTTTTTGACCGAAATCAAGTTTTGGCCTAGGTCAGATTTGGGTAAGAAATAGACTGTTTTGTGACTTCTTACGTCTCCCACAACCTTCTCGTCCGAAATGCTATGAAATTATCAAGATTGGCTGCTCCCATATGCGTTTCCTAGTTCTCCACAGAACTAATTAATATCCTTAAGTCAAGAAAAAGTGCTAATGCAACAACAAACAAGTGATGAGAACTCACCATGATGGCTGTATAAACCGTATAACCCATATCTATAGATATGATCTCCGGGTTTCAAATATTCAGGCCTCACCTCCTTCCGCATCAACTGCATCAATATGGTCATTACCTTCTTTTTTTCTTTTGGTCCTTCCTTCACACTCCTGGGCTAGTGCTTGAGCTGATCAACTTACCTATAACGAAAATACCTCACCTGACCATATTGGGGTAGAGGTCTAGTATAATTACTGTAGTGAAGGGAAGAACAAGAAAACTTCAGGATGAAGAAGCTAAAATGATTAATTACCTGACCCTGCAATATCGGAAAATATTTGCTTGCTTGTGTTTCTAGGATTGGGGGAAAGAGGAGAGAGAGACAAGCAGACCCTGGATCCTGCATCCTGGAGCCCTTAGCTGAAGCTTCAGCAAGAGCCATTAGAACGAGGACGTACCATCATTGATGTCCACACGAGGAGCGCGGTATATAATGTCTTCAGTGAAGTTAACATATATAGGAGGAATATCGAACACAGGCAAGAAGATCAGAAAATGGTAATTGTGAGGAGATTGAGGATTGATGTCAGAGAGAGAGAGAGAGAGAGAGAGAGTGTGTGTCTTTAATAATTGCATGGACAATGCAGAGATTGAGGGCACTTTTTTTTATAGAGATCAGAGGGTAAAAGTGGGTGCAGAACGTGAGGACTATGGAATTTTATTCATTAAAAATATGAAGGACCGTGTTAATAGGAAAAAATAGAATCAAGAAAAGCGTTCTGAAGATTGGAAATTTGGGGGTTTGGATTGGATGGCGACTCGTGATTTCTTTGGTGTGAACCCTCCGCTCTACAGTTTACCGAATGCAAACAAAAGCACTTGGGGCTCTCTCTCTCTCTAACCCACGATTTCTTTTTGCCTTTGTGGATTTGTCCTTTTCTTCAGTTCTCCCGAATGCAAACCAAGACTCGTTCCGCTCCCTCTCTTCTCCCGAATGCAATTATTCTGACACTGACACATCTTTCCATGTAGCGTGCATGTCACCGTCTTCCATTGCTACTTTTTCTTTAAATTCAATTATACAGTCGAATTTTTTGGATGGTGTTCGGTATGTGGAAGTGGCCAGGTTAGATTAAATGGAAATTAAATATTTAGTGGTCATATATAGGGGGCCTAATAACCCAAAAAATCTCAAGCTTTAGATTTAGTGGTCATATATAGGGGGCCTAATAACCCAAAAAATCTCAAGCTTTAGCTTTTGTCCCAATTTTACCTTTTATTTCGTAAAAAATCTCCAACTTTAGATCATGTCTCAATTCTACCCTAAACTTTTTTTTGTCCCATAAAAAATCCAACTTTAGATCTAGTCCCAATTCTACCCTAAACTTTTTTTGTCTCATAAAAAATCATCAACTTTAAGTTCAGTGCTAATTCTACACTACGCTTTTTTTGTATCATAAAAAAATCGCAGCTTTAGGTCTAGTTCAATTTCACTCTAATTTTTTTATCTCATAAAAGATCACCAATTATTACTTGAGTCCCAAATCTGCTCTCTATTAACCTTCAGTCAAAATCACTCTAAGGGATTTTGCGCTCGGCCTTCAATCTCTTGTGCTTGGGAATGTTCCATCTCTTGCGGTTGGAGAGCTCACGCTCGGGAGTTTTTCATCTCTCGCTTGTCAATGAGAAATTTTGGACTGAGGGTTAATGGGGCAGATTTGTGACTCAAGTAAAAGTTTGTGATTTTTTATGAGACTGTAAAAATTTTAGGGTAAAATTGGGACAAGACCTAAAGTTGGAGGTTTTTCATAGGACAAAAAAAAATTTATAGTAAAATTGGGACATAACCTAAAGTTGAGGGTTTCTTAATAAACAAAAAAAATGATGGTAGAATTGAGACATGACCTAAAGTTGGGGATTTTTTATGAGACAAAAGGTCCAATTGGAATAAAAGCTAAAGTTGGAGGTTTTTTTAGAGTATTAGGCCATTTAGGGGTGTCAATGGATCGGGTTTTCATGATACCCGACTCGATCCGAAATACTGAACACGTGTGCTTGGCCCAACTCGAGACAAGACCCGAATAAGATATAGCCATAGTGTCGGGTCAGGTCGGGTCGGGTTTCGTGTTTCGGGTTTTTTTTTTAAATTAAGATTAAGTTACACTTTTTTCCCCACACCACAATTGTAGGGGCTTCTGTAGTCGCCGCCTCCTCCTTTTCCTCCATACCTTCCTCCCCCGCCACCACCGTAGCCGCCTCGCCGTAACCGCTCCTACCGTTACTGCCCTCGCTATAGCCAAGAATCCTTTGGGTTGAAGAAGACATAAACTAGGATGAAGAAGACACCTGACCAAGCAGCTGAAATGTCTCCATTAAATGTAGAAATTCGAAAATTATTTACAATAATTTCAAAGATTGCAAAAAATCGATCCACTTACCTTCAGATATGAAAGAATGAACCCTTTTTTTAACATAAGCAAATGCAGCTGAACAGAACATCTAACCTTCGATTTTCAACTTCTAGAACACTTCATTCATCGACGTTGGACGACCGAAAATAACCCAAAGGAAAGGATCCTGGACGGTCTGGAACTCGACGGTCCTGAGCTCAATGAGGATAACGAGTCACACTTGATATGGAACTCGATGTTGGTCGCGATAAAACGACACCCAAGATCAACATAGCTAGAATCTAGAATACATTCATCGAATAAAAGAGATTTGCTCACCTGATTTAGAATCCATCGTTGTTGATGCGGAATAGCGACGATCCTCCGTGCAAGTTTTCTCCGCTACCACCATCTGTATATTAGGATGGTCGAGACGAGCATGCCAGGGAATGAGTGAAGCAAAGGAAGCCATGATAATATGCGAGTGAGATGACACCAATGACTTGAAAATCGAATAAAGACAACGAGAAGAATCAGCTTGAAGGAGAACTTTCTGCACGGTCAATTGCAGTTCTAATCCCTCAACTTTGTGCACGGTGAGACTGCATCTAGATCCACATGATCGCAGAAATTGAATATTGTTCGTAAGGACAATCAGCACTTGACCGAGAAGACCTCATCCAAGATGCTATTCTTGCGAAAATCAATTGTGCAGCGGGAATACTCTTTTAGGCTAAAGGCATTATCGTAACAATGCCTACCATAACAATTAAAGAAATATCTATTCTGCGGTCGGCGAGGATCGCCGGCCATCCCCCACCTTCCGGGCGAGAGTGGGGCGGCGGCGGCGAGCGAGGGCTACAACCCTCACTGCCTCGTTTCTCCTCCCCCCTCCCCCTTTTTATTTAAATTTAACTTTTTAAAATTTGAATTTAAATAAAATTTATAGTAAAAATCAAATTTGAATCAAAACGATGTCGTTTTAACAACATAGAATAAAGAAAATGGAATAAAAAGAAAATTCACGTCGGTATTTTCTGTTAGCTAAATTTGACGGAATTAATGAAATAACTCATGATTACACTTTTTACAAGTTTTAGGACTTAATTACTATTTCATGACAAGTTTTGAGACTTTTATTGCACATATTCCAAAGCATAATTTGGAAGGGGTGAGAATATTAAATGGTTATATTACTGTTTATATCATTTAATATTGACCATTTATATTACATACAGAAAGTGTTGATTTTTCGAGTACAATCGATTTGATTCGGTCGGGAACGTGAAACTCATGCGTAAAGAGAAACCTGCGAGTCTTTTTCTTTATTTCTAAGCGAAAACCCCAACAATTAAAAGACATTTTAACCAACGACTTTGACTTTGGAGTCAACGATTTTAAGGTACCCTCTTTGCAAGATCAGAAGTTGTATTGGGTGCGGGAATCATTCCATGGAGATTGGTCACTGAATCTGGGGTATCACTTGATCTCTGCTGAGGAGCTTCTACGGGTGATTTTCCTTCTGCTTCTCCTCTCAGCACATTGCTCTGTTCCGATGCGTGCCTGCAAAAGTTTGTGCTGCTGCAGGGGAGTCTAGAGCAATTTTGGCTCTCAAGTGCAGAGAAAACTTTCAATCTTTCTTTCTTTTCTTTCCGCCCGTGTAAATTTAAATGCTACAGATGGCGGGAATTGCTGTTGCTGGTTCTGGTCTGTTTCATGCAAATGCTAGCAATGAGTGCCTTTGGACTATTTCATTCAAATGCTTCTGTTATATGTAAGGTCGTCTGTGTTTGATATGTTGCAGTTTGGTCTGTTTGCCTAGAAACAGGAAGTACATGTAGTGCACATTTTAGGTTAAAGTTCTAATTTTTGCAATTTAAGGCTTTTGGGTATCTTTGCATTGAGTAGTAAGCTCAAGAGTTCGTCGGATATGGTGTGCTTGAGAGTGCTTGTAGGTCGTACCCGGCACAACCCATGCAACTGCCTTTCCTTTTAAGCAAAGATGTTTATGTTATTGCGTGTATCTGGTGAATGTAGGTTTGATAATTCCTGATACTAGGGCAAGGTGAATCTCAAGAGAGACCCATTAGATCTAAAGGTCGAAATGTATTGTCTTGCATACGCTAGACTCATATGAAGGATTTTGGAGTGTGTAACAGATTGCCTGGTCAATTTAAAGTTTTCTTGCGGTGGTAGTGAGAGCCTTTTTAATGAACTGCCTTTGTTTGATTTGAAT